ATTCATATTAAATTCCAATTATGTGAGCAAATAATATTATACAATATTATTTTTAATGTGTAGTGATAATGGTAAATACAAAAATTGAAAATAGTTGAACATGTGAAACAACAACAAGCCCAAAACAACTCAAATGACATGCAAATAAGGAGTAATTACAACTTTAATGCAAAATAAAACTTAAAAAACAATATATTTATGTATAGTTTTATTATTTTATACTTCGAATTAACCGGTTAAGGTTAAATAGACACAATTTTTCCCGATAACTTGTTTCTATTTGCCCATTGGCGAAACGCAGGTATTGTCGATTGTGAAAATCGACTTGTTTTGAAACGAATTTTTTACCAGTAAAATAATTCGCCACAGACAGAAACCAGAAACAGAAAGAATACGCACTATTAGTTGGATGTAAGTTTTCCACCGAGTCACTATGTTACTCTTGCTTTAAACCGCGCTTGGGTGTTAAGGTGCAGGAAAGTTGGCATGGAGGTCATACGAGACTCACTAAGTAAATATTCGACCGGCGACAACAAGAGGCATTCCGTTATAGCACGAAATGCAGCGTTCTGATATGTCTGAAGCTTCTTCGCATGCTTTTCACTACTTCCAGGGTACCATATAAGTGCGATGTAGTTTAGGGCCGGCCTGCTGATTGCCCTTTATGTTGCCAACCACATTTTTTTGTTTTTTCCCCATAAGCTGCTGGCTGGCCACTTGAAGATTTTGTTGCGGCTGTGTACTTTGGCAATTAACTCCACATAAGGAGAGCAGTCTGTCTAGTGTTACACCTAAAATCTTGGATTATTGACAGTCAAGGCCTCCAGTGTCTTCACTACAATCCATACAATGCGTCACTATAGATGTGTGTGGCCTCGCGCTGTCCTGCTGGAACACCAATTCTCTTCTAGTGGATCTGCACCTTTCAGATAGCATACTTGTTATCCCAGACGGTCTTAATGACAGTACAGTCCCGTTACCAAAGCTTTGGTCGAAGGGTAATTACTCATAGTAGATGATTCCCTGCATTCCGATCCCACCAAACATATATACAGTAAATTGGTCCAAACGTGTTTTTTTTGTGTAATGTTTAGCTTTTGAATAATTGAAACAGTGCTTATATGATGGGCAGATTCGAAAACTCTTTTTGATCTATTTTCATTAACCTATTTTCCTTATATACAAGAGACCCATCTCAAAAAGGTACAATAAATTATAGGTCACAGGTAAGGTATTTTCGAGCCGCTTTATAAAGTTGCCCTTATTTTTTTCACTTCAAGTGTTGCTTTAAGTAGTTAACCTGCCAACGCGGGCGAATTTTTTTCCAAGGACTCATCAGAAATGACGTCGCAATGGCCGAGTATAAAATATTTTTTCCAAAAATTTCTGAATTTCTTTCTTTATAGTGTATGTTAGTAATGTATAAAAATTTTTTTACTTTTTATATGACTTGTTTAAAAAATTGCATATCACAACAAGAAAAAGTTCATATCGCTCAAACTTGGTGGCCAATCAACCGTCCCAAGACGTAAAATTATCTGCTTAAGTGTTTTCTCAATAAAGCTTGTTGAAACCAAATATCGCCGAGATCACGAACTTCAATTTTAGGCATCAAACAGTGGGTTATCACGACGGCATAACGGGTCGCTCAGGACCGATGATTCCAAACCATAGCAGACCATGCTTTTTCTTTATATAATGGCAGCTCTTGAATTTCTGCTTGTTCCCATACCCATTGAGCCAAACATCGGATCTTCTTGGAAATTTTCAAGAGCCTGTAGAGCGAAACGATGGCGCTTGGGAAGGTCGACCGGCTGCAATTCGATCCCAAGCTGTATTTTGTACGCTTTGCTGAGAACGGTGCCGGCGAATCTACGTGTTCACTCTCAGCTACGGCTGCTACATTTTCGTCACAGCGTGCTGGGCATGGTTTGTTTGGTCGAGTTTTATCCAATAATAAATGCTGGGTCTCAAGATGGGAGTTTAGCGAGGCGCACGAAACGCATTCCCCACAGAACGTGAATTTCGTGATAAAGTCGAACAATTTCTAAACAATGTTCATGCGTAACTCTTTTCATGATGAAATGCCAAACAATACTGAACAAAAATAGCATGACAGCTTGACACGACTCCTGTGTGTCAAAAGCGGCTAGCGGCGAAAAAGTATCTCTGCTTCTAAAACCCGTTATAATTACCTGTCTGTATTTATCAATAATAATATTAAATGCATTTTGTTTTAACATTTCAAATAATTTTAAGCAGAATACTCTTGGTCATCGGACACCATTTTTGAGAAGATTTTTGATAGAGAACTGTTAACGAACAAGGGAGTTCGAAATTCTCGAATTTAATCGCCAATTACTAGAATACAATTCAGTGCATGCCCATTTTTTATTTGTTTATTAAATAAATTAATATATTTAAAAAAAAACTCAAAAAATGCGTTATTTCTGGTTTCCAAGTGGATATAATCCCTTAAACTACTTTAAAATATGCCCACTCGCAAGTATGTAAACTATCATGGCCCAATACTATATAGACCAACATTTAATATAGCCAAGTACCTCATTTTACTAAAGAGCAAATCTTCTGGACAGACAGAAAAAATTCAAGCAGACATGGATTCTGACTTTTGAAGTGGAGTGTAGGTACTCGTATTGCTGCAGAGTGAAGTGTCGATACACGACGGCAGCACTTATGAAGTCAGAGTATTGAGCTGATAGCTGCACACAACAACAACGTGCATCTATCAGGAATCATAGTAACGAATAATACATGTATGTGAAAGTTATGAAAGAGCTTCGCAAACTAAAGCAGCAACAGCAAGCAGAGCGTGTTGCCAATGACTCCAACATACAAATTTAAGATGAAGAAGCAACACCGTCAAACAGCGCCAACACAACCGAAAAAAGCGCACAGAAACAAACAGACTCAGCAAACACTAAAAGGCAACAACAACAATAACCATACAACCGCCATAATAACAGAAGCGCCAAAAAACGCGACATTTTCATGTTGGTCACATCATTTGTTGGCCGCAATGCCAAGCTGCGCAAGCACGACACAACTGCGGGTCTGCAATCGCTTTGCTGGCATCAGCAGAAACCTACAAGCTTGCAATCAGCAGTAACAGCAACAACAACAACAAAACAAACAACGTAAGCAGCAGCTGCAACGACAAGCAAGCGCATAAAATGCAAGAACAGCGTTAACAACAACAAAAACAACACCGATGTAGCAGTAGTGCAACTGCAATGACACCGCAACCAAGAGCATAGTTAACAGCACACAACAGTCAAGAGCATTGCATTGCAGCAACAACAATCGCACAAGCATTTGTTCCGTCCTCCGTGTACACGAGCAACGAATCGTGGCAATCAGTCGCGCAAGTACATGATGAACTCACTGCATCTTCATGTTGAATAATGGGCAACATGCAGCACATAACCGACGATATAGCAACAATAACACTACTAAACACCAACTAGCATTGCTGGCAGTCAACTACTGAAGTAGTTATTCGAGCACAACCAACAACGCAATAACAACAACAATCGTCTGTGTCAATGCGCCTAGACGCACTTACGTTGCCAGCAACCATCCTCTGATGCAGTCAACAGCCCACAGTTTCAATAAGCGCGCTTATTCGTGACGCTACTTATGGCCACGTAGCCGACGTACTTACTATGTCCTCCGCCATGCCATGTAGCTGCCTACTTATCGTGTTGCCACAGTCGTCGGTCGTCCTCTTCGGATATTGGCGACTGTAGTGTTTGCGAAGGTGCAGCGACAACAGTGAAAAGGCAGGAAAATCAATTAAAATTATTGGCAGCTTTCGCCTCCAGGCTATGTGAAGCGCGACAAGCGGTTATACGTAACTAGCCGAAGGTGCTCGCGTGGTTAACGCTTGAACGCCAGCGTAGATCAGAATCAAGTTATTGGCAATGACTCAAGCGGATTTTGGGAACAGTGAGATGAAAAGGAAAAACTAATGAGTAGAGATACGCAGAATATATATGATAATATATGTACATATATGAATATGCAATACGAAAGTAGACCACCTGAATTAAGTGTCTTTATCAGCAAAGATATGTCTGGTTTTTTTTCTCAGAAAATTTCACTAAATTTTTAAAACACAGGCTTCTGGGAGAACCTAATTTTCAACATTTATGTAGATTAGTTTCAATATGTCAAAAGATCAGACGTTAAAGCGCTTCGTCGGTACCTGACTAAGAGTTCTTGACATCACAAAGGACCAGCGTTCTAAGTGAGAACGGATTCCTTTAATATTAAATTTCCACTTTAATCGCATACATATGTAAAAGTTCGTAAGTATTCTGCGGACCTTTTCACAGCTAGCCAACCTTTTTACAGCTTACCAAATATTTAGATCCATCGCAATTGAATTTATGAATCAAAACACTGTAGCATATACGAGCATTTCAACACGTCTAAAAGGCGTTGTGGTCAATACATTTCGCCGCCATATGACAAGATGCTATTGGAAAAGGCTCACACATTATGACTGAACGTGGGTGTGGACTATAATTTCAGTGACAACCGTGAAACCTACGAGAGCCATTGCACAAAAGAAGGAGTCAACACGAGCACGTTTAACGAGGAGTCGTGTACCACTTATCAGCGTGGCGTCATCGCTACTTTATCTGCGATTCATTTCTGTAAGCTTTTGTGACCATGAAATGCGAACTGATTGAATACTTTTGATAAATACAATGAAAGGTCATAAAAACACAGTATTCTGCGGTTATGAAAAAGTTCACAGATTTTACTATTTACACGTTTAACTATATTAATTACAAGTGCTTACAAAAGAAAGACGCCACAAAAGCAAATAACGAAAATAAGTATGATAAAACTGCATAAAAAATGTGAAGTATTCAATACAACAGTGTCAGCGAGATTTTATGCGCCATAAGAGCTTTCGTCAAATTAAACTCCTCATCATGTGCTTTCACCACTATCCGGACCTGGAACAATCAACCAAATTGTCGGCTATCAATTTCATTGCTGTTCTTCTCACAATTACAGTCTGCACCTTCTAAGCGGCCGTTTTTCGATGTCAGTATGCGTATGCCTTCCGCGAACTTCGGGAAACCGGACATGGATTCCCTGAGCGTCGTCATCATCACCGGCAAATACATGAAGAAATCCTTCACATGTGTAAACATCATGTTGTAATCCATTTGCGAATTGTTGTTACCTCGGAAGAGATTGCCCAACGAATTTCCGGCACCGCCGTTGCCGCTTGCGCTGCTACTGTCATTGTAATCGATGTCGTTGCTGGAGTGTGACGGTGCCGCGTGTAATAGTTGCAAGTGCACTGATCAAAAAGTAGAGGTGTCACACGTTATTAAAAGCATTACTTACGTAATTATTCATAACGCTGAAATACTCAAGCGTTTTTGTACTCACTTAGCAAAAATAACACTAGTAAACGTGCGAAAGTTCTTTGGCTCATATTGATTTTTTTTTTTTTTTGCAATATTTTGTTCTTGTTTTTTGTTAAAATATCACTTCAGTTTCACTTTTCGGTTTGTTAATCTTTTTACTGTAGTTGTTGCTACTGTTTCTGCCACAGCAATGGCCATTGCTACACTGCAATTGGGTTTTTATAAATTTCCAAGCGCTTTTCTGCCAATTTGGCACATTTTTACTTTCAAGAGTATTTACCACTTTTTGTTGAGCTATTACATAGGGTGTTTCAGAACGATTCTATAAAAAATATAATCGATTTTTTGTGTACAAATTATGTGTTGCCAAAATTAGAACCCGAAGCTAAAAATTAACAGATCGGCGACTTCTAGCTATAATCTCAACATAAATCAAAATCGTTGCCAAAAAATTTGAGCATCATGATTTTTTTTTTTATTACTTTTTAGATTTTAGTAACTATTAACTTAGAATGCCTAAAAACTGGAAGTTTGGTTGAGAAAAAAATTTTTTTGACAAAACGTACGTCGAAAGCTAAAGTTAACGGGTGATCTAAGAAAGGGTACTTTTTTTCATTAGCCCTTTTTGACAGATCACGCATGAGTCGCACCAAGCTATCCTCTTATTTTTGTTCTGCATGTTTGGCATTTCGTTATGAAAAGCCGCCTGAACAACGTCTACAAATCCATCAATTTCATTACGAAAATTCACGTTCTGTAAAGTATCGGCCTGCTGAGCGTACTATTCGCAACACCATCCCTCATCTTGCGACGAAGCACTCATTATTGGATAGTATTCGAACGAATAGGCCATGCCCAGCACGCTGTGATGAAAAAATAGTAGCCGTAGCTGAGAGTGGACCGTGGAGAGTCGACTCGGCGCCGTTCGCAGCAACTCGGACTGACGTATATAACGACTTGGCGCATTTTACGTCGAGATCTTAAATTGAAATCGTACAAAGTACAGGTTGTGCTCTGGCGTAGGGGTAGCAAAAAATTGGGAGCAGTAGTAGAGCAGAGCTAATAAAAATTTTCACTTTCATTTCAGAGCACAGCAGCTGTAAGAATTTTTCGATCGAATTCTGAATTTCAAACAGAACTTATTTAATTCACGAATATTGTCGAATTTTCTATTTGAAATTTTTCAAATTTAAAATGCTTCAGCGGATTTTGATATTATATTACCCAAAAGCCAAACTGAAACAACCTTTTATTTTTAACAACAATATAATTCTGCATATTGTTTAACAACGTAAGGTAGAATCATACAACTTGACCTAGTTCTCGTTGCTTTTATGTGGTTTTCTTTCTTTCTCCAATTGATAATGTGATAAATAACCTTCCAGAAAAATTGTAGGTGGTATTATGAACATCTAACTTTACAAAAAATGAGGGTGGTCGAAATATATTCTGACACAAGTAATATGTTATTTAGTACTGCTAGAATGGCTTAGCTTGAAAATACTTATTTATATTGGGAAACCGGGTCTTGAGTCCATTGTCATTTAGATAAACTTCACCATCTTGGCTGTTGTTATGTTTGCTAGATATTTAGGCAAGTTTCTACTGAGGATTATACAAGTCTCTAAGTAAAATCCGCAGAGTGAATGTTTTTTTAAGATATTATTAATGATAAAGAGACGCTTTGCCAATACTTACCGAGAGACAACCACCATCTGGAAATAATTTTTGTATAGTGGTGAGGACAGCGCTCCAATTCTATTATAGAGCTAATATCTTATTGTATACTTATAGATTTATCAAAAGTACGACTATGGCATATCAGATTTTCATCCATTCCCACAACAATCCAGTCTACGTAACTGAAACGGATCCAGATCTCTAAACTAACACGTACTGTCAACCTGACTATTTGAAAAATACCGTTACCAAAACAATAACAGCAACAATACAGAATATTCAAAACTAGTAAAATAGAAAGTAGGAAAGATTCGCAGCTGCCGAAGTGAACTTTTATTATGAGCATTGTAACAAAAAAATAATTCTTATAAACTTGGAAACTCCATCAAAGCTTCTACGCTTCTGTGTTTTGTATTTTAATTTCCTTAATTGTAATTACCCAACGCCGTTGTCAATGTCCTATTTTAATCCAAGACTGACTTCAATTTCTCCCCTTTATTGATTAAAGTAAAGCATCTCGACCCTAAGTAAATAAGCCCTTGGCTGTGATCATTTAAATATTAATGCCTCGTCACAGTTTTACTTCTCAACTATTTGAGAATTGGTAAAATTTTCTAAATTTGCCTTCATCCTGCCTATACACTTGTAAAGTATGTATGCATGGGTGTTGATTATCGCTTCGCGCTCATCGGCCACATCTGCATCCTCATCAGTGGGAATAATCTCGAATGACAGTGATTGATGTGCACGAAATTTATGTGATACATTACTCGATGACCCTCACCCTTTCCACCAACTAATACAGCGCCTACAACCGCTCAATTCATCAGTGGGAATGACAATAGAAACCAAGCAAAATCAACAAAAATAATAAAATGACTGGCAGCGAAATTGCAATTTTAAAAGTGAATTTAAACTATAATTTCACACAATTTATGTAGTATATTCGTAGTTGTTATTGTATGTACGTAAATATGTATAGTTTCGTATTTTCATGAATCTCAAGCAGAAATTTTGATTAAAATTATATTATTTTACCTTTCGATTCCTTTCTCAAGGGGTTAGGCCTGTATAGAACCCTAAACAAGAGCTCAGATTTGGGAATTTAATCTGGAAAGAATCGAGACCCTGAAAGCGGTTAAAATGGATGAAATATAGAGCATAGAGCATAATTATACCCTGAACAGGGTACATTAAGTTTGCCACGAAGTTTGTAACATCCAGAAGGAAGCGTCGAAGACCCTATAAAGTGTATATATAAATGATCAGTATGTTGAGCTGAGTCGATTTAGCCGTGTCCTGCTATCTGTCTGTCTGTATAGTCCCTCGGTTTTTAAGAAATCGTTTTGAAATTTTGCTGACGTCATTTTCTCTTCAAGAAGCTGCTCATTTGTCGGTACTGCCGATATCGGACCACTATAACATATAGCTGCTATACAAACTGAACGATCGGAATCAAGTTCTTGCATGCAACACTTTCACATTTGACCATGTATCTTCACAAAAATTGGCACAGCTAATTTTCTAAGATAATAATGAAATATACGAAGAAATTGTTCAGATCGGCACACTATAGCATATAGTTGCCATACAAACTGAATAATCGGAATCAAATGCTTGCATGGGAAACTTCCTCATTTGACCATATATCTTCAAGAAATTTGATATGAGTTATAGTCCATAGTAATGTGATGTCCGAAGAAATTTTTCAGATCGGCTCACTATAGCTTATAGCTGCCATACAAACCGAACGATCGTAATCAAGGGCTTTTATGAAAAATTGTCATATTTGACGTGGTTTCTTCACGAAATTTGAATGAATTAATGCTTAATGTAATAATATAATCTTCGAAAAAAATTGTTCAGATCAGATTACTATAGCATATAGCTTCCATACAAACTGAATACATAGTTACTAAAGGAAATGCACCTGCGAAGAGTATATGTATTAGCTTCGGTGCAGCCGTTTTTCTTGTTTTAAATTCCAGTTGATTCTTTTACTTTCCAGTACACAACTCAAGAAGCAATTATATAGCAGGAAAAAGTTTGCACGAATAATGAATTTAGAATATGCCACTTTTCGATCGAAAATTGTCAAATCTAACCAAAACTATTCAAGCCTCTAGGTACCGAATACGTGGACCCCTGTATCTATAATTGACTTTTGACTGAAAATTTCGCCAATGTGTTATTGAAATTCAGAGAGAACACTTTCCCGATAATAGTATCTCTGAGTATCAAAAATGGGTTGAAATGGGTCAATACTTCTCTGAGCCCCCATAAAGTGAGAGAGCATGTTTCACTCACAAAAGTGTATCTATGTGCCTAAAATAGACAAAATCGGGCGAAAACTTGGCCTAGCCTCTTTATAACTAATATCAGAATTTTCGAAGATCCGACCAACTTTTCTCTATATGATTGGGGATTGTGTGTGGGGTACTTTATGAAACCCAGGGTACATTTTTTTCATTATGTGGCGTGTGAAGCATGTAATTTGAAAACCGTCAAAATGACGGTCTTGGTAGTTCTAGTGTTAATAGTGGTATTGGTAAAAATAGGTAAAATCGCGTCGATACTATACCAACTGTCATAACAAACCTTATGTTGAATATGTCGGTCAGTGTATGAAGTATATGTGTATAGTTTATATATATTATATTATATGTATATGTTTGTATACAAGTCAGCGATTCATTAAAAAAATTCGGATACATTTGATCGCGTAGCCGCTTTCAAAAAGAACCTCGAAAACGATGTACACACGTTCTATATAATGTAAATGGTATTTTCAATTTCATAAGTAACCATAATCTGACTTAGGCTTGCAAATTTTTTCCAAAATGGCGGGTATATGAAATGGTTAAAATGTTTGTAAAAAAGTTACAAAGTGTACCACTAGTCAAAATATTTCGATTATTTGAAAATCCGAGACTGATCTCACCCCTTAAATGTTATTTGCTGTAAAATTCGATGCCGATTTTGTAGAGATGCGAACACACCCGAAAAATTAAGCWGAATAAATAAATAAATCACACTAAAGTGAAGTGATGATTTTGATTAATGTTGATACAAACTGTTGACAATTGTTTGTCATTTGCGTTCTACATTCGCCTGCAACTTGTGTTGTTGTCGCTATTTTAGTTTCTCAGCGCTTCGCTCGTGTAGAATGTGAAAGAGGCAGTGTGCAAATGCGTGTAATACAAAGCAAATATGTTGTTGTTGTACGAGCCAAATGACTTAAGTGTATGAATAATTACACGGCTCCTCAAATGATTGAGTTATCAAGTCCCATTTGAAAATGAACGTAATTTAGCTAAGTATTTGTTATAAATGATTCTTTGCCGAGGGAAAAGCTCAACGAGTTGTTTGTTAAAATTAAATTCGTTTT